TCCCTATTTGTTAAGCGACTTTATGAAGAAAGTTATAGAAGGAAATAACGACGTCGAAGGTGGTTATATTAAGGCTTTCCATTTTGAGCAGGCCTGTGCTCCATGAGTTTGTGGTGTAGTAGTGAATGCTGGCCGTGACAGCTGCTTTACAACCTCTTCACAAAGATTTTGCCCAGCTGGATTTTGCAAGAGATTCAGCTGCGTGGTTCACAATCAGACGGCTTCAAGGACTATCGAAGATTGCTTACAATACCGCCGACTCTTGTCCTGACTTTGTCAACTATGAAAAAGCGTTTGACAGCATCGAGACTAATGCCATAGTGTCAGCGCTCGTCGGCCATTGGGTGGACCTATCTTACGTAAGGACAGCCGACTGCTACAAAAGCTGCTTTATGACGTACAGTATTTGACCCTTTTACCAATTTCAAAGAGGATTCGACAAGGCGACATTGTGTCGCCAAAGCTGTTTACCGCCGCCTTACAGTGGGTGATGAAATCACTGTATTGGAACGAGAGAGGTATAAGAGATAATGGGAGATTTGAACTTTTCTTTTACGTTTTCCTTCGTTTTTTCTTTATTGCTATCCTATCGAGGAGGAGACGAAAGAACTAAACGAAGGAAGGGTTCGGATCGAACTGCGATTCACCTGAAGAAGACTCAGTTCATAAAAAACGCTATATGAGAAAATCAGAATGGAATTAGAAGGCTCTCTTGGACGTTCGATGAACATTAAGAACGATCTAAAAGAAGAATTAAAAAGGAGGCGAGGAGCGGCTTGGGTCGCCTTCGAGCTCCTAGGAAGCCACAGACCAGCTGACGGATCCAAAGCTCCAAGCCCATCTGTTCGATTCAACCGTTTACCCTGCGCTCTGTTACGCAGTAGAGACATGGCCTGACTTTGTGGCCGGGTCAAAGGCTTCCCAAACAGCCCACAGAGCACTGGATCAACGTCTTCTAAAGCACAACCAACGCCCTCAACATTAGTCGACTTTGCTCCTCAGATATGAAATTATTATTTCGTCTTCGAGATCCAACGGAATATGTCTCTAAGGCAAAACATCGATGAGCTGATCATACAATGAGAAGAACAGACGCAACGGACACAAACTTTGAGGAGGATCTTTGAACTCTGCAAAACGTCCTCGATGAGGACCAGACCATCGAGCAGATGGCTGACGTGTTCGCGGCGCAGAAGGACCAGCTGAATTCTCAGCTGATAACGTTTGATGCATCTCCACACGAATGTCGCCGCCGCGGTCAATACCGTAATCGTGGATGGTGAGGCTAGCGAGAAACGGAAACGGAGGGAAACACGCTGGGGACTGCATGGCGAATACATGCCATCTAAGTTTCTAAGTAGGTAAGAGTCTCAAGGCCTCCTTTCTGGTTAACCAATTCCTGAAAGTTTACTTATTGCTATTACATCTTCCAAATGGCTAAAAATCGTTCATTAAAGAGAATACATTGTTTGAAGAAAGGTGTAGAATCTATGAAGGCCGTTCAATTCTTTAGAATAGTTCCTTTTACACTCGGATGGCTTACGTAAAGTCTTGAAGGCCAGTATGAACTTAGTGAATTAGTCTTTGTTAGAATACAGTTGCTGCAAGACATGGCATCTTCACTAAAAGCAGGATAAAAGTGAGCTGCGTTCAAAAACACGAACAAATGTCTAAAACACGTTTCTTGTCTTTCCAACATTCTATATCTGGCTCAAAAGACAGAAGAAAATTAGAATCTTCGCGCAGTTTTGTAAAACAGAGGAGGAATTTCAACTATAGCAACTGATTAAAATTTTGTAAATGTTCACGACATATGCTATAATCCACAAATTTGAGCAATGTGGACTTGATTCCTGTAGCTCTTTTTCCTGAACTTTAGCAGCTCTAGATTATAAACGAGTATGCACTCAATCCAATTCCTTGTTTAATGAGAGTGGTAGTTTCAATGTAATGCGTACCCGACATTTCTGCCGGGAGATTCAGAGGACACTCTTATCGTTTACTGAGAACATGCGTGAGGCGTTAAACTTGTGTAGCATCTTTTCTTTCTTAAAACATATATCACTGCCCCACAAGGCCTTCATATTTTCAGATTAAACTGGGAATTTTCTAGCCATATTTTCCAAACATTTCTAGTAAAACAAACAGATTTCGGCAGTAGGCAATCGGAGAGTAAGTTGGGATTTGTTTTTTGAAAAAGCAAAGAGGAATACGTATGGGGTCAAAGGTGGAGCTTGGAGTCATTTTCAGTTATGACCGCTCCCTCAACAACAACAATGTTTAAGCTCCCCTTCAAGGCGGGAATATTTACTCATGCGGCCTAAGTATTCTCGTCTCATTCAATATCAACTGCAGTAATTTCATGCACACTCCATGACCGTTCAGAAACCTGCTCGTACAGGTTTTATGTTGGCTTCAATGCGGGCGTTTATGCGGAAAATTTAACAAAGTAAACTATCCATATAAACGCGTAAAAGTGAGTAGGTAATGAACAGCCACCAAAGTTGGAATAAAGATGCACAAGAAGGAGTAGAAGAAGTGTTTGAAAAATCTTTGGAAAACATGAGAAGAATCACTGTACTTATATGATTTAGGTCTCCGGCGGAGATCTACGGAAGATCTCAAGTCTCTAATTAGCAAACACTTTTGGTTTCTCACGGTTTTGCTTTCCGTATATCAAAAGCTTCCTGTATCCCCTTGGTCCAACTTATAGCGCAATAACCTGATCGAAGCACTTCCTCTCTTCCTTGCTAGGGCCCTAAACGGATTCGCCCAGATGAAGAAAATGCACTCCAAGTAAACAGTGCTGCAGTGCTTGTCCTGCCACGCGTTTGTACAGGTTACAAAGGAAATTTTGTAATTGATAGGATTTTTAATGGGCATTCGTTCTCTTAATCAGTCGGAGACCTCGTGCCGTGGTCTGAAAACAACCAAACATTTCTGATCTTCGCATATTTTCCTTGTATTCTATGGACCTATTCTGTTCTTCGGCCAAGCTCAATTCGAATGTCGATCAAATCCAAATAATTTGTAAAACTCAATTTCAACTTTGTTTTGGTTGTTAGAAAATTCCTAGCCTAGAAAACAAGTTGCCTGTTAAATATCAAATCTAGGCTCGCAGAACACGATGTCCAGGGGATCCTTACACGTAAAAGAAAGTAGAGCAGAGGAATCAAACACTAATAGAATACTACATGATATACTTTCTTTTTTGCTTTCTAGTATCATGTTTTTCTCATGATTTTTATAGTAACCATGAGCTTTCTTCCATTCGTTCTCCTAAATTTCCCTGTATGCACCTAACTTTCGAACATTTTATGGATTTGTTTTTACTGCTACCTTTTTAGCCAATCATTTGCGGAAGAGAATGAAGAGATGCTCAGTTGTTAATATATCGAGAAAGGTTGTAACACAGTAGTAGAGTAGAAATGCCTTTCTTGGTTTATAGAGAACTTAACAGGGCAAATAACTTACTTACAATAAAAATGAAAAGTGAACAGATGCAAAAGCGCTTTGGAGAACACTTTAATACTTCAATATGGGAGCAAAGGCATAATATACTGAAGCTAAAACTGCCTTCATGATATCAGCTGCAGCTTATGCTATTCAGTGAAACGCAAGTTGATAGCCGAAGTTTGCTGCAGAATTATTTTATGGACAAGTACAGTTTTTTGCAGAAAAAGAAGTATGGCTCTCCTTTTATCAAACAGTGCGTCGGAAAAAGAGTTTTTGGAAGGTCTTTGGACAACTTTGAATTTCACCTTCCTTGCGTTGCACAAAAGCTTTAGAAGCCTTGTTTTGGAAGGTTTTGCACCACTTGCACAAATGGTACCAGTCAATAATTTTTCAAAATGGGATGGATTTGGATCCATGTACGTACACCATAGATAAATTGTTAACGAGTAGTTAAGGTCGAGCCTATGCATACAAAGTTCTGAGACGGTGTTTTGAGGGTGATGCTGCTGATATTAGGTTCTTTATAATTTTAGGACTCAGAAGTTTGTAGGTGATAAAAGAACACTTGTTTAAGTGCATGCTAGCTAGTTTATCTTTAGAAAGTGGAGTTATGTAATGTACTGTTAGATAATGTACTGTCATCATCTTCAAGTCATAGAAACTAAAGCTGGTTTCCTAGTGTGTAAAAAGGCATAATGAGCGGGCAACTATCCTATTTCCCAGGCAAGTTGATTTCGAATGAAAAAGCGTTTGTTTGTCGTTAACGAAAGTAGAACTTTGAGAAAAAGTAGTGATAAAAGTAGACTACTGCCTTTTGTTAGAGTTTGACTACAACAAACAACACAGAAAACTTAAGAACTGTTTTTCACTTTTTTCCCTAAAATTCAATATGATTATCGTCCTCAGAAAAACCCTACTAACCATTCATTTGAAAGAAATATAGGCACATAAATTTCGTAATACTTTGTCCAATTCTAGACTACTCGCGGAATGTATATTGTTTGAAGTTCAACATGTACTGCAATTCAAAGCATCTAGCGATACAAATGATGGCACTTGAATAGCAGCAAGTGAAATTCGCATAAATTTGATGCTTAGTGCTCTAAATAAGATTATACGTGATAACGGTGGTGAGAAACGAAAAAATTAATCAGTTTTGGTTGTTTGTAATGGAAAAGCATTAAAAACTGTACGCTTTATGATGTAACAGTGATTTCCGATGCATCAGCTCTTTCAGCATTTTTTTTCATCGTCTAGTCCCCTCTGTTCGGAATTACTACCACCATGCAAATTTTGCACAATGCAAGTACAAATTATTTATAGTTAGAAAAACCATGTTATTCGATGTTCATCCATTTTTCTGAGGCTTTATAAAGCCAGCAATGTCAATTTTG